GTTCTTCGGGTACCTCACAATCTTCCTCACCTTCGTCCTCGGCTTGGTTGATCGGATTTTCAAAGTCATAATGAGCAGTAGCAGAACTGTTATCAATGGGATCCAGAGTGGATATGGATCTGCATTGGAATACGTGAGTGTGTGTAAGAGCATAGCTGTATAGACAGAATAAAAGAAAAGAAAGACAAAGAGCGCAAAATTTGTATGCAAACTCCAATGCTTTATTAATGTCATATGAAAATGAAACATGATAACCCTCACAAATAGAACCATCGTGCCCCGGGTAAGACACATGGCTATAGAGTTTATATTGTTTTTAAATTACATATCCGAAAAAATCAAAAAGACAGTTACTCCTGAACAAAAGTAATCGGTACAAAGTCCTTGACAGTCCAGTTACTGAGTCCACTGTTGGTAGTCGAGAAGATCCAACTGTCAATGTCGGAATCACCATCACTGTCTTCAAGTGCATTGACCCCAGGATTGCTGATGCGTAGGGGAGGTCCTCTAGACCGAGCACGACGAACAGCCCTTTGAGCATCTGTAGTAAAGCCCAAACCAGAATTGTCAGACTTGTAATGAATATTCGGGAGATGACCCCAAATGGTAGACCCACCTTCTTCAACCACTGCTCGTGCATCCTTGAGAGAAGCCATCTTCAAGAGAGGTTTGGTGACCTTCGGAGGATTGTCGGTAGTTTCTGTTGTAGCCATAATCTGAGGTACCTCTTCAAAGTTCTGGCAAGGAGTCTCGATGAACTCTCCATCCATCTCTACGTACCTGAAGGAGATCAAGTGATTGATCATGTACTCCTTCTTGCCGCACACAGTGACAATCTTTCCTCTTACTGGGTACTTCAACATTTGGTGGAAGGTAGAAGTAACAGCCCCAGCCCCATGTATCCAAGGGCGTCCTAACAAGCAAGATTATGATGGTTTGATATCCATTACGTAAAAAGTGGAGTCGAAGGTCTGGGAACCAACTTTGATATGGACATCCACTTCCCCGTGCACCATCCTCTTCGAACCATCGAAAGCTATCACTACTATATTACTAGGCTTCAAGGTCAAGCCTTCGCAGTCAAATTTGTCTAGAGCTTTTTTAGGTAGCATATTCAATGAGGAGCCAGTATCTACCAAAACATGGGCCAGAGTCATGCCCCTGCATTCGACGGAAACATGAAAGCATCATTATGCTTCCTCCCTTTTGGTGTCAGATCCGCGTCAGAAAAACCCAAACCATTATCGGCAGTCAGACTAGCCACACAATCTTCAAACTGATCAACAGATGTCTCTTGTGGCATGTGAGCCATCTTCAGAAACATAACCAAAGCCTTCGCATGGGCCTCGGAACACGACAACAAAGCCAACATAGAAAATTTGGATGGGGTCTGCCCCAGCTGCTCGACCACATTATAGTCGCTCTTCTTTATTTTATCTTCAAAATTTCCTCCATTTCTTTCTTGGAAGCTTCTGGTATGGTTACTGAATTGGCCCTGGTCAGGACAAGCTCAATCAGTATGTCTTTTCCTCGAGTCTCGGCCGACTCGGTGATGGGAGGGTCAACAGGAGTAATTACTGGAATTGCAGTAGTAGTCTCGGGGGGAACCACAGCAGGAATGATCACAGGACCGATAGCAGTCTTTGGAGGAGAAATCTCAGGGGAGAACACTCTTCCACTTCTTGTTATTTTACTGGTTCCGACAATATTGACAATGTCGGAATCAACATTTTCAGCAATCTTGTCTTCAATAGCTAGCATATCCTACTTGACATCGTAGTAATAGACGTCGGCCCCATAGTTCCAAGGAACAACTTTGTCCGAGGAGTATGAGATTGGCCCAGGCATGGTTATGATCAACAGAGTCACCTTCGGAATTGATGTAATCCTGACGGGTCTCTTAGCGGAACTGGAGTCTTCTCAACCATAATCTCTTTGTCATCCATCAGGCGCTGAACACTTGCCTTCAATAAAGGGCAAACAGTCGGTAGAAATGAACAAAAGGGGCAACCTTCTCCACAACCCGGAAATAAACTGGACTTCAACAAACTCTCTTTGATAGTCATGAGCGGGGTCACCAATTCTTCCACAGAGGTTACAAACACGTCTTCTTCAACGGAATTAGCACCCCGACCATGTTTCGGCATAGGAGCAGTGATAACGTTAGGAGTCTCCAGGGGATCAAATTCAATCTCCTTAGCATCAATCAGGTCATGTACTTTGTTCTTTAAAGCCCAACAGTCATTGGTATCATGGCCTGGACTTTCCGAATGGTAAGCACAATGAGCATTCGGTTTATAGTAGGGAGAGGTGGTGTTCGGATTCTTCGGAGCTTCCCTTAGAGTAACTAGATTGGTCTTCAACAATTGAGGTAAAATCTGGGACAGCGTCATGTTGATTCCAGTGAACTGTCTAGCTGGCATTTCTACTCTCGGCTGATTATTTCTTTGCTGAGCACTTGCAGGGTTGGGAATCATAACAACCCCTACTGCCTGACGATGCTCGGTTCAATTCTGATTCTTTTGGTTATAGACAACACTGACTTCCTTTTTACTTGCAAACGGCTTCCTTGCAGCACTAGAAGAGGCATCCTTCTGAATTTTTCCACTTCAGATTCCAGCTTCCACTCTTTCCCATGTTAAGATTAGTTTAGTAAAACCCGCTGATGAACTTCCAATCAGATGGTTGAAGAATGGCCCAGTCAAAGTCCCCAAAAACATATCCACGAGCTCCCTGTCAGCCAAGGGAGGTTGAACTCTTCCAGCCAAATCTCTCCACTTCTGAGCATAATCCTTGAAACCCTTGTTCGAACCCATAGACAGATTTTGGAGTTCTGTACGGGTGGTGTAATACCCCAAATTTGTCCTATCCTTTTACTTCCTATCTGGCTTACGCATTTTTGCATTTTTCTCACATTAGGTCATCTATCACATCATGCATCATTAATTGATAAATTGGCATAAGATCATGGATTTCGAGGAATAAGGGTTGGTGAATGGCTCTAAGGCTCCCATCTTCGCACAAGCCTGTTTCGGTTGATTTCTCCATTAATAATTTGTTTGAAGCTAGGTTTTCATTTCATGGACCTTATTATCATCAAGCTACGAGGCTATTCTTTTCTTCTCAATGTCAAGTTGCAAGGTTTTATGAGACGAAGCTAAAAATCAGGGTTTATACATTTTCATATTTGAGCTTGTCAGCGTTCTACCTGAGGTTCATTCCATATCAAGGTATTCGCATTCATCTGCAAAGAATTCCTCAGGGCATAGTCATTATCATCTATTGAGAAGGGGTCCAAGACGTCGTTGTTCTAGTGCTCATATAGTCGGGACATGGTACAAGATGCTGATTGTGATCAAGGTGTCATTATTTCAAATGCTTATTGCTTGACACGCAAATTTGGTTCAGATCGGAAAATTGAATTGAATTAGGGATTCATTGAAGCTGTAGTTTGATTAGAATTCATTCATTAATATTTGAAGTGGATTTGGAGAAAATCAAAGTTCTTAAATATTTGCGTGGCTTTTCTTGGAATTCAAACCACAAGTATGAAAAAAAAACATGCATCAAATTCATCCAACCATCAAAATATTGTCCAAATAGCCTCTCTTGGATTCATTCAAGATTCATGTCTCTTTTGGTTACCTTGCAAATATTTTGGATTCATACTATTTATTTGAATTCATACAAAGGCCATTTCATTATGTGGAAATAAAGTCAACATACATTCCAATGTGTATTCAAATACATACAAGTCCAAATTCCATTACAATTATACATAACATCTATACATTTTTACCAAAACCTATCCTAATTTTCAATCATTCTTCATGTTTCAAACTTCAAGCTTCCAAAACTTCGTGTTATGCGTCTTTGTTCCAACTTCATATCATCTTGGTGTTTTCCTTTTGCCTTTGCTTCCCAATAGCCCTGATATGAACCAAACCTGCAAAAATATTGGATAAACTGTCATAAGCATGAACCGTCTACACTACCGCTAGTACACTAACTTGCAACAGAAAATAACAACAACCATTTAACAATTTCTAAACCTCCCAACCATTTTCAAAACCACCCTGTAATTGAATCCCAGCTTAACAAAAAGGACCTGCATAATGAAAGGCAAAAACAGAATTTTTTTTCATAAAACATTTCCTAACAAACTTCCTATCCTAAACCATATCTCAATTCACCAACTAACTGCAAAACAGAATAGTTACGGCATAACTAACAAATATCCAAAACCATATCTCAGTAATCCCAACCTCTATAACTATAACCTAACAACTTTTCTTAACTTTCTAACCAGATCCAAACTAACTTAACTAGTAACAAATTCTTAACTGCATCTCGGCTTCCTAACCAAAGTCATAATTCCCCAACCAACTTCCCGTAACTGTTTTCTATAACCAACTAACAGAATCTCTAACAATAAAAAACAGAATAACTAACTACCTCCTAACCACCTAACCAATTTTATAACAAACTTCTAACCAAAAAACTTACAGCAACATGACCTGTAATTGAATAACAAACATAATATATAACCTCCTAACCGATTCAGAGAAAACTCTCCATAACAGATCCAAACCAGCTAATTTAACATTCCAACAAACTTCCAGCATATATACATAATGAGATGGACAGAATAAGGAGAAGGGGATTCATAATAGAAAAAAATTTCACAAAGAACTCACAAAAACCTCTGCGGCCTCCACCTCTGAACCATACTCCACTTCAACAAAACCTCCAATCTTCATCTTCTCTGCAATCTTCTCCATCAATACATAATCATCCTCATTGATTCTTTCAGACTACAAACGCAATTGAATCGTCATCTTCATTGAAACCTTATCAAGCTCCACTACTATCACCTTCATTCCTAAAGTTGCAGTTTCATTGTAGCCGCTTTAAGCATCACTGTATCTCTGCATCTTCTTTATCTTTCATCAACATACAACAACAATTTCAACAACATCATGATAATGCAACATCCAAAAATGAAAAAAGAACGCGACACGAAGAAAAGAAGAAAATTGAATCCAATCGCAATCGTACCTGGAGCAAGATTTCTTGGGTTTCTATCGCTGATCAGCATCGCTGAAGCACCGAACAATTCTTCCGGATATGCTGGAGTGACGAATAGAAACGGTTGCGGTTCGTCGAAGAAGATGAATGAACGGAAGCACACGGAGGCACTGAATCGACGAGAGTATGAGACGGAGCAACACGTGACGGACGGCGGCGAGGAAGTGACGACATCGGAGGGAAGAAATCGCAACCAGATCGGAAGAGGTTGAGACGATGGAAATTGGAGGGTGAGAGACCGGCGGCGCCGCGTTCGTGAAGGAGAGGAAGAAACAGTTTCACCCAACGCCTATGGCCACTCTTTTTCTCCAAAATCCCTTGCTGTTTATCAACCCCGCCACTCTATCACCCCAATTCGTTCCAGAAGCTTCTTCATCCTTCAGCTGAGAAAAAAAGAGGTTCATCACTCTTGTGTGTAAACGATGGGAGACGCAATTGATTTGTCTGGGGATGGAGGAGTCATCAAAACCATTGTGAGGAAGAGCAAGTCAGATGCTGTGGCTCCAACTGAAGATTTTCCCGTTGTTAATGTTCACTATGAAGGCACGCTCGCTGATACCGGTGAAGTCTTTGACACTACACATGAAGACAACATTATATTCTCCTTTGAACTTGGAAAGGGTAGTGTTATCAAGGCTTGGGATATTGCCGTCAAAACCATGAAGGTTGGAGAAATTGCAAAAATAACATGCAAGCCAGATTATGCATATGGTAGCGCAGGATCTCCGCCAGATATACCTCCAGATGCAACACTGGTTTTTGAAGTTGAGCTAGTTGCCTGTAGGCCACAGAAGGGCTCTACTACTGGAAGTGTTTCAGAGGAGAGGGCTAGGCTAGAGGAGCTGAAAAAGGTGGAGAGATTTCTGCCGCTAAGCCACGCCGCGAGAGAGGAAGAGACCTTTTTTCTAACCCTAAAATTCCCTTTTCAATTTTCATATCTTTTCTTTTTTTAGTTTTAATTGTCACACTGTTTTATTTTTATTTTTAATTCAATAAATACAAATGGTGAATAAAATTAAAAAGCAGATATGATGTTAATTACAACATGAGCTGATGATGTTTTTTGTTGGATTGAACTCGATTGGGCCGTGCCACTGAAGTCCATTAGCATTTTTGGAAAGCATAAAGCTGAAAGTGGAGCAAAAAAACTGCTCCTTGACTCATGTCATGTTGGGCCATAGCGCCTAGATTTGGCTTGCACCACCCTGAATTCAGCTTGTACCCCTTGATTCTTCTAATTTTTATTTTAGTTTTTCTTCTAATTTAATTTTTTTTAATCAATAATAAAATGATACAAAATAATAGAATATTTTAGAATAGAATTTCTTTTTAGAATTTCGATTAGAATTTTTTCTATTTTATTTTTCATATTCGATAATCATTTTTATTGCCATTTTCTAGTCGAGACTTTTTGTAGCGTCGACATAACTCTGGCAGTGTAGAATACTCGGGGTTAATTCTTCAATCACTTGATCAAGGGAACTTTGATAGAATTTCCTTACCGCTTGCACAATTTTGAAGAGGCAACGGACCTTCTCCGTTCGGTATCGTCACAACTCTATTTTATCCTTTATTTCAGTACTTTATCGCAAACCTTATGCGTGCTGACATTAGGTAGAATTCCCTCATTCATTCTAACTTTAGGGCTAACAATACATAATAGCATTAGGTTTAGAAGTAGGCTAGTCTCCTTTTTTACTTTTCTTTCTCCTTTTGCATTCGCACCTAAAACTAAAACTTCTTTTTCTTTTCGAAATTCAAAACACTTTAAAACTATTGATGAGAATCATGCTTTTGCTTAGTATGAGAAATGATAAGCGGGTCTCTTCTCGATCTTATCGTTCTTCATCTCAAGCATAGGTGTGGTTCAATTCTCAAAGACTCCTTTCATGACTAAGTAGAAAAATGACTAATATCTCTCTCTTGAGGTCAATCAGTCATCATCTACAACAAAAATACAAAAAAACAAATCAAATCTTTTGTGCGCTCGAGCACCTTTCATTAGAAAAACCTTTTCAGATAAGGACACGATTAATTTACTTCTGTGCCAACGCATAAGTCTCCAAACGTCGAGCTGCGGCAGAAGGCGGAATTAACTTCGTCCACACAAAAACATCTATAACAAAATACAAAAACCAAGTTCAAATCTTTTGTGCACTCGAGCACTTTTCTTTTAAACCCTTTTCAGGTAAGGACACGATTAATTTACTTTTGTGCCAACGCATAAGTCTCCAAACGTCGAGCTGCGGCAGAAGGCGGAATTAACTTCGTCCATAAAAAACACAAACAAATAAAAACATGTGAGCCGAACTACGGTAGCTCTGATTCCTCAAAAAGGATACGTAGGCATTGGGGTAGGGCCCAGGCGAGCACAATTTTATTTTCCCTACATTCTTTTCTCCTTCCTTTTGCATGCATTCCCTTCAGTAGTATAGTAAACAGTAAGCATAGATTAAACACACCCATAAGATAGATAACAAGAGTGGATACCGTAGAGTACTACGGGCGTGTGGGGTGTTAATACCTTCCCCTCGCGTAACAGACTCCCTTACCCGATCTCTCGGTCGCAAGACCGTGACTTCTCCCTTCTTAGGTTTTCTCGATGTTTACCTTTCCCTACATGTGGGATAAAAGACGTTTGATGGCGACTTCATTGTTTGATGATTTTCAGCCGGTTGTTTCAGGTGGGAGCGAGGTCTGCATTATACTGATATTGCTTATAAAATGCAGCAGCAAGGTCTTCCCAGTTACGAACATTGGCTTTTTCCAGCTGATAGAACCAATCCAGTTGTGTTCCAGACAGACTGTCTTGGAAGAAATGAACCCATAAGTCTTTGTCAGTAGTATGAGGTTGTATCTTCCTCACATAAGAACGGAGATGAATTTTGGGACAAGAGAACCCATCATACTTAGCAAATACCGGTGCCTTGAACTTTGGGGGGATGACAACCCCGGAGACCAGACCCAACTCTTCAAAATCCAGCCCAGGAACCTTCTGGATTTCCATAGCACTCAGACGCTCTTCTAACTGCTTATACTTTCATCAGCCGGAGGGTACTGCTCCTCATTGTAATCAGTTTCATTATCATACTCTTTAGGACTAGGGTCCTCTTCTTTGGCTTCAACCTCTTGGTTCTCTCCCTCTTTAGATGAAGAAGCTAACTCAACAATCCGTCTTGGCGGCCCTCTGAACCTTCTGCTCATATGTGACACATCGTCTGTCCTCTTGGTTTTCTTGTTCTTCTTAGTAATCAGAGCCTTCAGTTCTTCCTGTCCTTTGGCCAGAGCCACAATCATCTGTTGGAACTGCGTGTTCTGAGTCTGAAGATCTTTCACAGTTTGTTCAAGAGCCATTGATGAAGTAAATAGCAGAGGTGATGAGAAACCTTTTATGAATCCTGTTATGTAATGATATGTATGATATGTATGCAATGTTTTCAAAGACTTTGGGAAATTTAACTTTGCGAACCAAAATGAAACAAAGCTTTTATTAGTAGAATTCAAAGTTCAAATGCCTTTTTGGCGTTACAATTAAAAACAAATCTAAAAACTAGAAAAAAAATCAAAATTCCCATGGATGCTTCCTCTTTGTGACGAGATAGACATTAAGTCTTCTTTCCTTCTGGAGCTTCTTTGTGAGCTCTAAAACCTTCCTCTCCTGGGCATATAACTGATCCCTGTAAGTATCCCGCTCTTTCTTCAACTGAATCCAAGACCTCCGTAATTCTCCAAGATCAGTGGGTATATCAGGATAGAGAATCGTGTAAGGAATACCCCCTTCAGTAGTGGGTTCCATAATCACTGGTAGAACGACCATATAAGGCATCATAAGTTTCTGGGCGCGAGCTCGTATCCATTGGAGATAGGGTTCCATAGGAATGGAATCCTTTAGCCCCAAAGCCTTGGCGCCAGATCTGTTTATCATGCCCCAAGCTCGTATGAACCTCCAGCGATACTCTTGAACATCATCCTCATAGTTGAATACAATGCCCTCGATAAGTAACTCATGGGGACTATCTCTTCGAGCGTAACCAAATTGTCACAGAGCTAAACAAGGATTGTAGGTTATACCCCCTCTAATTCCAAGTAGCGGGACATTAGGGTACTCCCCACAACGGTCAATAATAGCAGTGTTTTCCATAGCTCGGGAACACCAGAGAATATCCGTGTGAGCGAGTGACGTTATCCTTTGTGACCAACCCAAACCTTCTTCATTCTTCAGTACGGACTTATGGAAGTGAGAAATAAACCACCCCGACAACAATGGCATGAAACACATAAGAACCCCTCTTCTCTTCATGGTACGAGTATGGAGAGCGTGTAAAATATCTCCGAGCAAGGTAGGCACGGGGGTTGCGAGAAAGGAAGATCTTGATAGCATTCACATCTACAAATGAGTCTGGATTAGGAAATAGTACTAACCCATAAATTAGAAGGGCCAAGACCTCCTCAAAAGCCTGAAAATCCATATCATCCCAAAACAGCTGGGCCTTATCTATCAGGAACACTTGGCTAGAAAACCCTTGACTCCGCTTCTTGTTTCCCAATTGGATACCACGTCGACCCGTTTCAGATGCAAGGCTGAGGCAATGACTTCTGGCTTAGGAACTTCTTCCAGACCTGTGAAAGGCAACTGTTCAAGAATGGGTATATCCAACAACTGAGAGAACTCTTCCATGATAGGAACCAACTGATAGTCTAGAAAGGTGAAGCAGTGGTGCTTGGAATCAAAGAACTGAAAGAGTACACTCATAAGATTTTCATCAAAGTTTGAAGTAACCAGGTTGAGAAGTCGACCATCTCTCTTAGTGAATGCATAAGTTTCGGGAACCTTTAATACTAGCTCCTTGAGTTGGGAAGGTACTTTCACAAAGCTGATTAGGATAGTGTTTCTACGGGTGGAAGCGATGATCTGCAAAACAGAACAAAGATGAATTCCCTTGGTCCTTGAAATGGTTAGTGCAATAAGAATGGATGCTATGTTATGATGCATGATGTCATGATAAATCACAGGTACAATAAACACAGACAAATCACACCAAGCTCTTAGGTTTAAGGTCTGCTTGAGTCTTAAGGTCATACCCTCTTGAAGTTTAGTTGGTTTCAAACCTGTCTTAGAAAAGTAATTGGGTTCTAAAGATTCTCAATATCATTGATCATCCTTTATCAGGCATTGTTTCAACTCAAGCAATCTTTTCTTGCGGCCAAAATATCCTGAAAGTCTGATCTCAATGAGTGTAGCATCGAGTATCAACCAATCCTCAGCTTTATACTGAGGTCGGTTATCTCACTACTTTCTAATGGCCAAGTTTCTTCAACTAAGGTTCTAAGGTCCGTTAGTGCTTCATGACACCACGCGGCGGCCCCGTATTCTTCTCGTTTCCCCATGAAAGATACCAGTACCAACCAAAGTGTCACACCAACACAGCCATCGCTTAAACTATATCGGTCTACGTCATACAGTCTCCACGGTCTATTGCTGTTTACCTACAAAGTGTCCCCAGATCCGGGTGTAGGATCTTTAACAATGCCCAGGCAAAACCCTTTAAGAATAAAGCATACAAAACAAACAAGAAAGAAATTAAAAAATGACCTAGATCCTAAGGTATACCTCACTTATTACATTCCCCAGCAGAGTCGCCAGTTCTGTGATACGGTGGCAGAACCGACTGTTAATACTGGTTTGCATTTTTTGTTCGCAAAATGTCGCGGTAAGCAAGAGTCGCCATCGAATTTTATTTTATCCAATCAGGAAAAGGAAAAAGAACAGAAAAAACCTTTTTCGAGATGTTTCTGAGTACGGGGGTAGATTATAGAAAGGGAAGGTGTTAGTATCCTTTCTATCCATGGCTTTCCACGGGCTCTTAGGCACTTGTTCATTTTGAAATTGCTTGTGTGGGTTTTGTTTTGAAAAGTTTTGTTTTACTTCGTTTTAACCCTTGTTTTTGTCCTC